CACAGGGACTATATCACAACTATATATCGATCAGGCTTGTCGGTTTATGATCTCGACAAGTGGTAATAGAGGCTGGGAAGGCAATACCACCGAGGTTTTGCTGGGCTACGAGATCAACGTTCCTCGATGATTTTTCCTTTTCTTGCCATGTATAATATATCCCGGCAGATTTCTGCCGTCTTGTTCGCTCCTCGTTCGGGGTGGACAGAGTGTCAATGTTTCTTTCTGTTGAGGCTATCTTGAAAGGGAACCGGATCATGGCATTCATTGATTGCATGTGCCGGCCATTGTTCACGATAGCGCAACGAACGGCATTGGTCATCTAGACGACCAGTCTCCTAGACTATAGTGTTTACTTATACTAAATCTTAAAATTTGGCAAACACTTCCGATAAGAGATGCATGAAATGATGAGACATTCGTATTTGCATTCGTGTATATATATATATGTAGGTAGAACACTCCTACTTTCCCAAGTTGATAACGCCAAACTGTAATTATACCCAAACACCTTCCAAGAACCAAACCAAGAGCACGCAAGATGGTCACGCGAACAATCATAAGGAAAATGTTGCTAATCATGAGCAATTTCATCAAAGTTGACGCCTTCGCAAACTTCATGTTGCTGTGCTCTCCAGGAACCGAACAACGGATTCTGCGCCCACTGAACATGACCTTCCCCATCTTGCTCAAAGAAGACATACCCTGGCTCATCATCGGGTTCATTACCCTTGTCCTCAGGTGCGTGGACACCCCTGGGACTGGTGACCAGACCTCCGAATCCCGGGAGAGCCACATTTGGGATATGGCCTCGCGCCTCAATCTGTCCGTTCTTCACGTTGTTGACCGTGATCAGATACACCGGCGGGAGAATGGCATCACGGTCCGGCCTAAGAGGCATGGGAATCCACGCTTCATTATTGAAGGATTCGGGACGATTCTTGTCATATTTCAGGGGCAATGGCCGGGAGAGGAGCATCTCGTCTAGCTTGCCAGTGTCGAGCAACAGACCCGGCGTTCGGACATACAGCACACTGTCGTACTGCATGAACTGAACCTGGCCTAGACGAAGAAGCTTGGTATCTGTCGGTTTGTAGCCTGCCGAAGTGGCTGCCGTCATGTCGATGGGGAGCAGCCAGATGTTGTACTTAATGCTTGCAGCCCGGAGCAAAGAAAGGGCTGTTGTGACGGAGTGCGAGACCTCGTCTGATGACAGCAGATCCCATTCCCTGGGGTACATGAACAACCGGTCATTGATTTCTGTGCCATTTGTGGCGAGTTGTTTGAAGAAGAGGATGGCGGAGCAGATATCGGATGGATTGGGGGAGGACAGGAGTTGCAGATACGCGTAGTTGCCTCCTGCTCCAGGCTGCGCATGATGAGCGACATGTTTTTGCTGCTTCTCAGGAATCAGATCAGACAGAAGATTCTGTTCCCGTTTTTGAAATGACGACGCTGCTGATCCATGGCCGGTGATCGGGTCTGGAACCCCGGGAGGTCGAAGAGCACTCTGGATACTTCTGACAGACTGCTGCTGGAGAACGTAGCCGGACAGAAAAAGGAGAAGAGTAAATAGGCAGACCACACCAGTGGAAAGGATGACTGAGACTGTTGAGGAGGTCAGAAGCACCATGATTGTGTGTAACTTGAAGTGCACATCGATCTAGTTTCCGTTTCGGGTAATATGTGTTGATGTTCCTGAGACGCACGAGACAGCGACGCATGAACTGAGCATCGAGCACACGACTATAAACACCACCATACACAATTAAATTATATAGGGTAAAGCATCAACATCTTCTATTGATAAAAGGTCTGTAATTTGAAGCCACCAAACCTGCTAACAGCAGACCTGAGACACAGGTTGCATCACCAGCTCCTCCGCTTACCTCTCCGCTGGTTGTCCGTGCGACTATCGATAAGAGTCCGTCTTGGCACAGCCTCAGCGCCACAGCCACAGCTGATCTTCCTGCTTTTCACCAAAGTTGCGTATTTTCCTCGCGGACAACCTTTGAAGTCGCGTCGCGTCCACATCGGCATTTTCCGATTATATTCAACATGTCTTCCCATCGTGCTGATGCGAGTACCCTCCTTGACAATCGTGGCTATTCAGGGCCCCTGGTCCGCGGTGTCAACCCCGCCACATTGTTCGAGAAAGCCGTTCGCGACCGCATCACAGACTCATATTATTGGAAAGAACAGTGCTTCGGTTTAAACGCAGCAACACTTTGCGATCGCGCAGTCGAATTGACATCTATCGGTGGTACCTACGGTGTCGCCGAGAAACCCACTCCGTTTCTCTGTCTTGCGTTCAAGTTGTTGCAACTCAACCCCGATCGTGAAATCATCTTGGAATATCTCAACTACACCGATCCGGGCAGTGACGAAGAGACAGAGGCCGCGGCGGAGGAACAGGCTCGAAATGGCGTGATTGGACAACGTGGGGACTTCAAATACCTCCGCGCCCTGGCGGCGTTCTACGTGCGTTTGACCTTTGACCCCGTCGACGTCTACAAGACACTGGAACCTCTCCTTCTCGACTACCGGAAGCTGAAGCGACGAGTACGCGACACATTTGTGCTTACCTATATGGATCAATTTGTCGACGATCTTCTGACGAAGGACCGTGTGTGCGGTACTAGTCTTTGGAAGTTACCGGCACGGCAGCAGTTGGAGGATCTGGATTTGTTGGAAGAGCGCATCAGTCCATTGGCAGACGAACTGGAAGAATTGGATAAGGAGAGCGACCAAGGCAGCCACGATAGCGACTCACGGTCTAACGGGGCCGCTGGGGACGAGTGAGCGCGTCACTGGGCCCCATAATCGACATCTCGAAAATTTCTGGACACCTTACAGTTCTAGGCGACCATTACCTCTCAATATATCGACGAATGCCTATCGCGTCGGGGATTCTGCTCCTCACGTATTTTGCCACTCAGTGGGGCGACCTAGACAGGGCAGGCGGCGTCTCGTTATCAAACGGACTCAAGGCATCCTCGTCGCCGGGTGTCTATTGAAGCCATCCAGAGCCCAGAGTCGAAGCTTAAGGAAGCACAGTCAATAACTATTATTGCTGGAGCTTCCCTCGCAAAACAACGACCTCTGATCGAGTTCAGAACCTTATGACAAATCTCACCAAATCACCATCAGGTGATGATCCTGGTGCAGAAGACGAATACTCTTCCTTCGATATACCATCGACTCCACATATCAGGAGATTACGTCCTTGTCTGCTGTAGGTATGTGTATAGCTAGAAGCAGCTTGGTATCCATTGATAATAAAGATTATACGAAGCACCAAGGATATTTGGACCTTCAAACAAACCAATCAAAAACCTTGCTGGCGATGCCATTTGTCCTCCCAGTTCCTGAACCAAGGGCTCTCATCCAATGTAGCCACTTGCCAATTTTTGTCTACAAGACCTTGCTCCTCCTGCTCCTTAGCCCATTCTTCAAGCTTCGGAAGCACGATATGCTCCACGTGCCATGTATTCTTATATCTCATCAGATTTTCTTTTCCTTCCTTGAGGACCTTGGCTACCAAGGCTGGTACGCATGGTTCATCACGGAATTCGGACACGGGCGTGAATAGTGCCTTGAAATTGAAGACGACCGCTGCCGACAGAGGCAGACGTCTCAGTGTCTGCCAATCCACTCGCAGATTGCAATCTGCCAACTGCAGGCTGGGGTCTTGAGAAAAACGGAGTTTCTCATGAGGATCCCCTGGGGGCATATACAGAGGCTGACCGATCTCTAGACCCCAGGACCCTCTCTGGATCGGTTTGTCTGTTGGCATTTTGGTGAAGAACCTAGCGGAGAACTTGTCAGCGACCCCTTGGGCTTGCTGCTCTCCTTGTAAGCGACCTACCGATCCATAGAGAATTGCATCTTTTCCTTATAGTCCGGAATCGGCTCATGGATTTGATGGAGCTGAAGCCCTATTTTCAATCCAACATTCCATCCCAAAGCAGAGCAAACCACTGCCGCGCGGAGGAAATAGAAGCCTGTCTCCTCATCGCGCAGCATGATCGCAAAGTCTTCGGGCACATTGTCGAGGAGAATCTCCAAAGGATGCTTGGCTCTGATGTCTTGCTCGGTGTCGAGGATCCTGTTCTTGAGTATCCTCTTGCCTTCTAGCGAGAAGTACTGAGGATACCGGGCGCACAGAAACTGCAGGACCATTTCCATTAATTCCTTGCAGGCTAATTCAGACCCTGGAAGATAACCGAGCACTGATGAGCCGTGTTTGGCGTATAATTCCTTGCGTTGCGCGATTCGAGCTTTGTATGTTCCTTCGAGCTCAATCCACCAGTCCGTTTCCATTTTCGTTAGTGCTATACCAGGGAAATACCGACTGTCAGCTCCTAAATCCTCTTGCGGGGGTGTTCTAGTGGACCGTTCGTTGCTGGTCAGGCAGGCTTACACATGGTCTGATGGTATGTCCACCGGAACGGACGATATGGCCTCGGTAGGGCCTTGTCAATGACAAATTCATGGTACGGATGGGGCAAAGGCACACCACTTAGGGCTGCATAGTCCGGGAAGTCTCCTAACTTCTTGATCTCCTCTGTTGAGAACCCTGTCGGAGTATGCCTTTCTTCTTGACAATTTCGGTAATCCATTGTCATTGGCAGAATGAATCGTTTGACTTCGGCTTCGTCAATCTCTTTCAACTGTGCCGGGCTCTCTCGCAAGGCAGCGAGGGCTTTCCGACGCTGTGGTGGTAAAACATCGGCATAGTTTACTTGAGGCACGGAACCGATCACTGGCTTTTTGTCGGGTGATATAGATCTTGGAGGCGTCCCAGCAGCTGACGTTTTGCGGCTCCGAAAACTTATTCTCGGCCAGACTTCCCTGCGTCGGGATCGATCTAAGGTGAAATAAAGTCCAACGAGCGCAGCCACGGCCAGACCCGACAACCACCAGTCACCGATCATACCGAGTATCTGCACCCTCATGTGTCTCGTGAAGCGATATATAAATGAAAAATGACATACAACATGTGGCTACGCCTGTTCGGCAATGGCAAAAGTGGCCACAAGACTTATGAAAGGGATTATATCTATAAGGGTGTCTTCTGGGGTATAAAAAAGCAATCAACCACAGACACGAGAAGTGTGATCGAGCAAGACTTCTCTCTGCTTCCTGTCTCCAAAGATATGCTCTATCGTGACCTGCTTGAACTTACTTCGTTTGGTGCGGAGAAGCAGATTTCAGATGAGGATGAAGGTGAAGCAACATGATAAGACCATAGCATTGGTTAGAATAAACCTTCGGATCCGATTTCTTATAATGTACTGCGACCACGTTAGCGTTGACCACTCAGCTTTGTTGTAGCAGTAGCAACATCAGGAAACTGACCTTTCAGCACGCCGATGCGCATGTTGTAGAACCATCGAGCTTCCCTATATCCAACGTCTAGAGGACTGTCCCAGGAAAGAGACACCGAGCTTTCCTATCATCTATGGTTATATCTCAACTGACGCCAGTAATCGTCGAGATCTCATGGTGACTCTGCAACGCTTAGATATCATTCATGATGTCATCGTCGTAAGGATAGAGTTACAGATACATCTCAAGATCCGAGGCGGGGAGCGGGGAACCCAGCGGATCAAGTGATAACAGACTGTATTCGCTCTTAGCTTCTTCTTGGATCAGTCGATAGCAGGATTGCCTGACTGAAGAGGGAAGACAAAGCGGACGTCCGCTTTCCCAAACGGGCAAAACTGTCCCGGTAGGTCATGTGCTTTGTCTGCATCATCATCATCAGTCACTGCTCCGACAATGCTTTGTGGTCTTTATTGCTTTGTCTCTGCCTGGCTTTCACATAGACCATTCATTTACAATAGAGAGACACTCTCTTACAGCGCATGTCATAATGAAGGAAAAAGGGACTTTGATTGACTATCCATCAAGGATGAGGTTTGACTCTTTGTCACCTCGTCAAGGTGCAGCAACTTTCGAAGCCTTCGATATCCTTGAGATACATCTTTTTCTCTTGGTTTGAGGCATTCATTCCCCTCTAGTCTTGAAACATGTACAAAGCCATTGACAATCTCTTTGTTCAACGAGCAAGGGATGTCTCGAAGAAGATGAAAGGACAAGGTCTTTCTTTCGGTAATTGCTCGAGTTTCATCGTCGACGTCGAAGACGCCGCTGAGGAAAAGTTTTGCCATTGAGAAATCTAGTCTGTGAGACTTACAGTCTTGCAACGTCCATTGAAGAGTCTTTCATTCTGAGCCTTCCATAATGTGCATCAATGAACAATGTCTCTAAGAATCTTTGTGAAGGTGTCTGCAAACCATCTATTGTACTAACAAGTTATTGTCTCATAGTCGTGCAGGAAAGCACAGAGTACGTTAGGATGTCTCACTTGAAGAATATAAAGCAAGTGCGAAAGCCCACAGATGTGCCATGTCTTCTTCAATCAACATATCACTCAGCCCTTCAACAATCACCCAAAGATACTCTATACAGTCCTCGCAGTTGACCACCTCCATTGACATCTTTCAAGCAGATAGTGACTCCCTAAGCAAAAATGCCACGACTTGAGCAGTTGCCTATGGAACTCCTGCTGGCGATCTCTGACCACCTGGATCCTCTATCGGTGGCCAGTCTCGGACAAACCTCCCGGAGGCTCAACGGTACGTTGCAACGTCCCCTGGCCAGAGCTGCCAAGCAGCATGCCCTCGCTGATGAAGCTGAGTACAAACAGCGAATTAGATTTCACGATGGAAAGGGTATTCGCACTCTCAAACGGACGCACAGGGTGCCTTCCCAGCCGCTTGTTCAAGCCGTCCAGCGTCATCATCTCAACAAGGTAAGAAACTACCTAGAAGCAGGTGTCGACCCGAACGCATATGACTTGGACGGACACCGCATGCTTTCACTGGCAGTCCGCGCCAAGGACGAGCCAATCGTGGATCTTCTGCTCGAGCACGGTGCTAACCCTGCTTTGAATGACGTGTGCGCGCCATATACCTCGCCTCTCCTTGACGCAATAAAAATGGGCGATGAGATGGTCAAAAAGCTGATCAGCATAGGAGCTGATTATACTCAAGTAAGGGTCATACACTCCCTCGCTGGTCGTTGCAGTCTGGATGTCATCAAACTTACCATTGACAAAGGTGCAGACTTTAGACAAACCAGTCTTGATGGCAGGACGGCGATCCACCACGCTGCAACAAATGTTAACCACCCGGATGTCCTTGAATACCTCGTTGGTAAGTACCCTGAGCTGCTTTCCTCCCAGCCTGCCAGGACATTTCTCTGGTCAGCCATCTATAACGGCCGCACTGAACTCGTCAAAATTCTCATCACAGCCGGTGTTGACATCGCTGGCGATACCCCCGTCCACGCTACCCTTGCTAGTCGTTGCAGTTTGGATATCGTCAAAGCCGCCATTGAGAAAGGTGCAGGCTTTGGACAAATTAGCCCTGATGGCAGAACTATGATCCACTATGCTGCGACAAATACTGACCACCCAGACGTCCTCAAATTTCTTACTGAAAAGTACCCTGAGCTGCTTTCCTCCCAGTCGACAAGTGGCAAGACAGCTCTCTGGTCAGCGCTCTATGAGGGCAATGCCGAACTCGCTAAAATTCTCATCACAGCCGGTATTGACATCAACGTTAGGGACCACGCCGGCAAAACCGCCCTCCATGCCGCCCTCGAATTCAGCCATCAGGCCGTTTACCAATCAAGGGAATATGTTGGCCGAGAAATTGCGGAGAGAAGTATATCGATCGCCACCGCGCTGCTCGAGCATGGAATCCAGGTTGGCTTCCCCGATCAACGGGGCCTCACAGAGCTCCACCATGCGGTGCGCCAGAACGGGCACTATTGCTTGCACAAGAGCATGCCGAGTATCGTGCGTCTGCTGCTTTCCAGGAGTACAGTAGACGTCAACGCGCTAGGTCCTGGTGGCCTGACTCCTCTGCATCTTGCGGCTAGAGTCGGCTGGCTGAAGGTCGTGAGGATTCTCGTCGAGGAGGGCAATGCGGACGTCACCGAGACGGATAATTATGGTAAGGCGCCTGCACATCTTGCACTGGAGTGCCCCGCTGTCTTGAAATATCTCTCGCGGAGGGCAGCTAGCAGACCCTCTGTCATCTAGATTATGATGAGGGAATGAGCATTAAAATCGTCTGAGTCGAGTGCGTCAATGGGAGGTATGTACTATCCAGTGCCTTTTCTTTCCGCACGGTGCTTGCTGAACTCAGGCGTCCTGGTTGGGAATGGTTGGAACTTGGCCTCTGGGTTCTTTAGACAACGTCGGTCTGTTTTAGTCTGATTTGCCTCATTTCTTGCTTTTGTTTTAACAAACAAAACTGCTAGCTGCAAGTTTTTGGAAGATTTTTGCTGCAATGATATCACATAGCACTGAGTAAGCGTGCCTAGTCCCACTTCAAAGTAATACAGTAGATCTATTACACATCTGCCTCGCCTTGAGAACTTGTAGTCTCAATTACTTTGTATTCATCCAGCTCACAATTCTATATTGACAAGAAACTGAAGGAAATTCGTGAGATCTGACGAATGATAAATGCACTCAAACAATAAGACGGGAAGAGGAGGGTTCCCTTGGGTATTAATGATGACAGTAGCATCAAGATTGGCAGTCTGAAACCCATTATGTACTCCCACCAATAACACAGCTGCCATGCAGTTTCTGATGTACACAAGTACACAATGCTCAGTGGTAACAAAACAAAGTGAAGCTCAAAAGAGAACGCAGGCTGGAAATGAGGATCGTATCTCATTGAGGAATGAAAATGTACCCCAATCAGGATGCCTTGACTTATCGTTCATATACTCGCCGGTGCTCCACCGATGTTCCGAATCGCAGATGGGCGAGTTGAATGCCCGGGAGCTTGCAGTCATTAAGACCGAAGGAAGGCCGATGCTTCAAATGTAAGGAAGAAAAGAAGGATTATGTGACAATTGGGTATCATAAGACCGCTGATTTCGCCGAGTCGCACAAGTTGAATTCACAAGGTAAAGAGCTTCCAAGATGCATAAAGCAAAGAAATTCGTAGTGCACAGATTCCGTGCTTAATCGGGGTTTGTCAGCTATGAAAGAAATATTAGTACCAACCCCCTCAAGATGTGCGCACGACTGGGGAAATACTAACCCGCAGCACCGGACGCGAGTAGTCTTCATTATCCTGGAGTGACACGTCGCTATCCCGACGCCCACCTCCATAAAGTACAGTGTCCGTTTTCAAGCGGTTATCAGTGAAAGTTGGCATACGTTGGGGTGTTATCGAAGATCCGGCGGATAACGTGTGACTATGCCCATCAGAGAACATGCCCTTCACGAAACTCATCTGAGAACCCTTGCTTTGCCTTCCGTCGAGCAGGACGTTCGAAACGCTCGGGTCGGGGCTCTGAGCTCGCGAGCGACGTTTGGATGCAAGGACAAAGAAGATAATCGCGATGATTGCCGCTAAGCCACCGACAGAGCCAACAACAGCGCCGGCAATAGTTCCACCCGAAACTCCAGAGCCTCCATTTTGTGAATCCGACGAGGATGGGGTCGCTGTCGTAGTTGGTTGCGTATCCGAGACAGTTATAGTCTTCACTTGGCCAGCAATAGTCTGAACCGAAACAGTATTTTGAGTAGTTGTAGGTGCTGTGGTAGTTGTTTCAGAGTCGGTGGTCTTGGTACTGGATTTGTCGGACTACACTGACGTTAGCAATGAGAGTTCAACGGCTCCTCGGGGTGGTTGGCAATAGATGAGTCGCATGGGGACAAAGCTCGAGGCAAAGACTACTGACCGTGGACTTTGTCGTGTCTGTTGACGATGGAGCAGCTGCTGTGCCCGAAGGATTATGTACAGACATCTGAATATAAGCATACAGGCCTTTAGAGGCATCTCCACAGCTGTCTGACGGATATCCTGGACATCCTACGGCACAATCGGAAATGTCGGTGTTCGTAGCTTTGTTGGGCGCTATGTTCGAGCACCAACATTCTTTACCCTGGAGGATTCCGAAGGCATAATCAGCATTGCAGGTTTGCGTGCAGAGTCCATTAGACTGATAAATGCTGATGTCTGTAAGGAGAAAAAGATCAGATATCACTTGGAGGCAGAGAGGTCGTCAGGGCTACCTACTGGCAGAGAACGAGGAACCGGTATTCACGGAAGAGCAGTAGGTGATATCGGAAACAACTGGCGATGCAAGTAAAGCAAGCAGCAGAAGACTCAAGCCGACGAACATGGCGAAATTGGACTGGCAGGTGCAGATTAGGAGATAATGTATTCCACCCCCTACTTTTGTGCCCTGTCCGTGTGCAATTCTGGTTCGGCAGACTTTTGAAACTGTCAATCGTTTTAACTGTCCCTCCCCTGGTTATTGCTCAATGTGCCCTGGCCCTGTCACCAAGGGATCCTGTAGTTGATGGTCGGCAGGTGGAATAGAATAATTGTTAGATCGAGGAAGCGTTTACGGTAAGCTATAAGACGCTAAGAACATCTGCCCCGTGGGTGAATAATGTCGAAATAGGTCGAACACCTTAGAGAGTGTAATAGTTGATTGTTCAACGACCGTCCCCAGTCCCGTAGATGGATAACCTGTGGAACCTAAGAGTGGTTAGTCGTGCCGAGCCAGCATGAGCCAGGGTCTTGATGGCACCTAGAGAAAAAAAGGTGCAAGTTCAACCAGGGAGGCACTCACAGGATTATTCTGAACTGAAGCTGGAAAGTCTCTAAGCAAGGATTCAGGTTGAAATTAAACCTGCTTTTTCCTGTGACGGGGCTCAGAACGAGGCATTTGGCAGAACCGGAGAAGCCGATGCTCTAGAGGCTCCTAGGCATCGAGCCAGAAAGTGAATGTCGAGCGACCGATAGGTGAGCGACTGGGAAAGTGAGAGGAGCCAGAACGAAAGATAGGCAGAGAAGAAGCGAGTGGAAATGCCCGGATGTCAAAAGAAACGTGAAATCAAAAAGGGAATGAGATGGATGAGGCAGAAGGAGGATGTGGTTTGACAGCGGGAGAGTCGAACAGGATTGAACAATGATAAGGTTGCGAGTTGGTCGGGTGAATTAATTTACGTCCTGCAGTGGAAACTGGGAACTTAGGAAGCAAGTATTTAGCACCTTGTAGACCGGGATATTGTCTACCCACTAGGTAGTCTCCAAACTTAAAAATAACGATAAGAATAATAATAAATACAAGGAACAATCAATACATAGTGGTACGATATTATAAAGTTGGACCATTGAGATGCCGTTATATCTTACCATCCTTTGTAAAATAACAGGAATGTCTACGGTATACGGTAGGTACTTGTAGACAAAAACAAATGGCCTAAATTGTGACAGGATAAGTGGATCCATATGGGTCCCTCAAAGAGCACTTAAAGCGGCCTCTAAGATGGATCCCAGGAAGACAAAAAATACTTGCGTAAGCTGCGTCTCTTGCTACAGTAATTTGCTATTTCAGCCCAAACCTGAAGCTCAAAAGGAAAAGAAAAGAGAGTTCATATTAGACAAGCCGATCGCCTTGCAATTCGGAATTGAAACACAACCCCTACCTGGGGAATGGAAATATGAGGCACATTCATGGATACGGAGTATATGTGAGAGAAATTAGCATACCTAATGCGTACCTTAGCATCCTACCCGCAAGGCAGTGGAGCTCTGCTGGCTAGACTGGGAGTCCGCGACAGCCTTTTTCCTTGAGAAGGGCTTGTGGGTTTTGTTTCCTAGAGGAACAAGTACGACATGATGTGTCTGATTATTATAAAGATTTTGTAGAGGCACCGAAACCGTTACGTTCAGCCTTCATGATGCGCTGATGTCGGCGGGTACTGGCACTAAGGATACCGATGCCATCTAAGTTTCCTGTCATAGTAAGGTTGGTTTGAGTCTGAGATAGACACTGTACACTGTTAGTATCAAGCACTGTCTATCAATATAAGTACTTGTCTAAACAGCACTTTTCGTCCGTTAATAATTTTTAAAGTGTTCTATCAGATCAAAGATCAGTCAGTGCGTTTGTTTCGAGCTTCAGCCACATCGGAGAATCTGTAGAAAATACATTCCAACAAAAACAGTATTATTGTATGTTCATGAAGGTTAGGTAGATGATAGTACTCCATACTCTGTACTCTAGGTAAAAAAAGCCATAAGGAGCAACGGGCCTCACATTGCTGCCGTAAGTGTTTATATAATGGTCAATGCTTGCTCCACATGCTGTTACATGAGGTCTATTTACCTAGCTACTTATGAGAATCGCTGTTTTCCGATGCAAATGAATGTCAAGTTAAAACCGCTTAGATAGATCTTAGCTAAGCTCGAAGGTTAAGTACATTGAAAGTATAGTCATCCTGACATGCTTCGACGCAGCCATGTTATTATCTGACTACTTTGGATCAAATCATAAATATCGAGTTCTTAGACTACAAAGCGTTGTAGCACAACTAACAGATATACCTTATCCATCCATCGGCCGCGTCATTGCATTCAACAGCCAGTAGTTTGATAAACCGGGCATACGTAAGGTACTCTCCGTACGGGTACCAGATCTGAATGAATAATTTTACTATTCATTCTGCAACGTAGACTGAAAATTTTGAGAGACTATTTCAATATTTACATTGCTTTTCACATGCATAATTTGACTTATGTAATTACAAAACTTACCTTACAAGATGGTACTGGAAAGTGGGATCTGCTGGTCATACCTTTGATTTCCAAGCAACTCGGCGTCCTAGACTGGAGCACGGACTCCGATATGAAGAGTCTCATTGGATTCTGCGGGACCAAGTCTACAGGTGGTACTAATTCCAAATCATACATACCGTGCGATATACCTGGACTCCCTTCCTAAGGTAAATGCTTAGGGATGTCCGATCTGCATCAAGCAGATGAGGCCTGAGAATGACAGCTGCTCCACTATATGAAGGAGAGATTGAAAATGAGTGGATTCCCAAGTCTGAATCATCACTTCCCAGCCACGCACAACGACATCAGGAAAAGGTATCCAGAAAAGTGGAGCACCATCTTGGCAACTGGGTTACCGTATTCTGGAAACAAATGGATGGTCTAGAATGTTAATTCTGTACTTAGAGCATTTGACAGGAGTAATCTCAGCTCTCATGCTTCGTCC